TCAAAGAAAAGCGAAGTACACTATCGGACCAGGAATCGAAAGACTACAAGACAACACGGAGAATGTTTTTGTTGACAGATTCTGTCGAACTTACTCAGTACCATCTTCATTGTTCGAATGGATTAAAAGAAGAAAAAAAGCCGGGGTTTATCGGTTCGACGTACATATTTTAGTGTATGGAATAACCTTACGATCGATTGAAAGTTAGAAACGTTTCAATGCCAGGGCATCAAAGTTGTACAGTCCGTACCCAAAGGGTTAAAATTCGTGTTTTGGTGCCCACTACACATTTGCAAAGAGAGAGAGAGAGAGAGAGAGAGAGAGAGAGAGTTAGAGAGAGAGACAGAGAGAGTGCTGCCAGCTCAGGGGCCTCGCTATTCTTTCGCTTGACCTAGGTCACGAGGCATGAATTTTTAAATTAGTGAAAACATCTTTTAAAAAAACAATCATTGGTTTCCAGTACTTGTATTGCAAATATGTTCTATCAGCTCGAGTAACAGTAATGATGACCTCGGTAAAAAAAGAGGAATAGCAAGGGTCCTCAGCTGGCCCCTCTCTTATTCCTTAATTTTTTACCACACATACATGTACCCTTCTCATCCCAAGCTGACTCATGCCGCCCCAGCAATACCATAACCATATGTGCAGTATGTCAAAGTGCTTGAAATCATTCATTGCTAGTGAACAGTATTGAATCCAGAATGAAAAACGTAACACTCAATGTACTTTGTCATCCAAAACAATTTAGAATATTCCATTGCTTTTCTGAACTCTATTGTTAGGAGACTGTAAGACACCCACGAATCCAACTTGGGGTACATATCCAATGGATGGTTCTACAACCGTCGGCAGTACAAGGCAATAACTTGTTCTTCTAAATATGCCGTCAATCCTTCTGCAACAACACAAACTATCACATGCCAAGCCAATGGTACTTGGACAGTGCCTGGTGTGCAACCATGTCTACGTAAGATATTCTTGATTTAGATGAAGAGTTTATAGTCGAGAAAAGGTCCAAGGAAGTACACGTTATGCTATAATGTACACAAACACCATCAGTCACTAAACAATCAGCTAATGCAATAACACTGTACGACACTGACCAACGGTACTGACGTTCTACAACTAACTGACTAATAAGCTCTAGAATGTCTTGCATGCGCACTCCAACAGCAGTGTGTTATCATAATTATAACTTAGAAGATTCCAAGTTGGAAGACTGTTGGAGTGCGCATCCAGGACGTATTAGCACCGTTTAAGATGTCAAAAGATTAAGGCTTTCCATTTGGCTATGCAGCATGAACATGTGTCACTCGCTCTTTGCCAATCTTCTTTTGTTCGAGTTACCATCAATCTCCTTTTGTTCGATGTTACCATCTGTGCAGCTCTGCTGTCCGAGTTCACAAAGCCCAAGGTCACCGTAAATGGGGAAACAGATAGCTTGAGTGACCAGCACACGTTTTTATTTGGGTTTGAGTATGAATGTAATAGTGGAGGTCGTGAGCAGCTGGTGTGGCAGTGTAGTTTGGTACAATTCTGGGCCCCTTCAATGCAAGCTCTTTCACCCACTTCCAATCATCTCAAAGAAAAGCGAAGTACACTATCGGACCCAGGAATCGAAAGACTACAAGATAAGACGGAGAATGTTTTGGTGACAGATCCTGTCGAACTTACTCAGTACCATCTTCATAGTTCAAATGGATTAGAAGAAAAAAAGCCGGGGTTTATCCGTTCGACGTTCATATTTTAGTGTATGGAAATAACCTTACGATCGATTGAAAGTTAGAAAGGTTTCAATGCCAGGGCATCAAAGTTGTACAGTCCGTACACAAAGGGTTAAAATTCGTGTTTTGGTGCCGACTACACATTTGCAAAGAGAGAGTGCTGCCAGCTCAGGGGCCTTGCTATGCTTTCGCTTGACCTAGGTCACGAGGCATGAATTTTAAATTAGTGAAAACATCTTTTAAAAATACAATCATTGGTTTCCAGTACTTGTATTGCAAATATGTTTCTATCAGCTCGAGTAACAGTAATGATGACCTCGGTAAAAAAGAGGAATAGCAAGGGTCCTCAGCTGGCCCCTCTCTTATTCCTTTTAATTTTTTTACCACACATACATGTACCCTCCTCATCCCAAGCTGACTCATGCCGCCCCAGCAATACCATAACCATATGTGCAGTATGTCAAAGTGCTTGAAATCATTCATTGCTAGTGAACAGTATTGAATCCAGAATGAAAAAGATAACACTCAATGTACTTTGTCATCCAAAACAATTTAGAATATTCCATTGCTTTCTGAACTCTATTGTTAGGAGACTGTAAGACACCCACGAATCCAACTTGGGGTACATATCCAATGGATGGTTCTACAACCGTCGGCAGTACCAAGACAATAACTTGTTCTCTTGACTATGCCGTCAATCCTTCTGCAACAACACAAACTATCACATGCCAAGCCAATGGTACTTGGACAGTGCCTGGTGTGCAACGATGTCTACGTAAGATATTCTTGATTTAGATGAGAGTTTATAGTCGAGAAAGGGTCCAAGGAAGTACAAGTTATGCTATAATATACACAAACACCATCAGTCACTAAACAATCAGCTCATGCAATAACACTGTACGACACTGACCAACGGTACTGACGTTCTACAACTAACTGACTATGAGCTCTAGAACGTCTTGCATGCCCACTCCAACAGCAGTATGTTATCATAATTATAACTTAGAAGATTCCAAGGTGGAAGACTGTTGGAGTGCGCATCCAGGACGTATTAGCACCGTTTAAGATGTCAAAAGATTAAGGCTTTCCATTTGGCTATGCAGCATGAACATGTGTCTCTCGCTCTTTGCCAATCTTCTTTTGTTCGATGTTACCATCAATCTCCTTTTGTTCAATGTTACCATCTGTGCAGCTCTGCTGTCCGAGTTCACAAAGCCCAAGGGCACCGTAAATGGGGAAACAGATAGCTTGAGTGACCAGCACACGTTTTTTATTTGGGTTTTGAGTATGAATGTAATAGTGGAGGTCGTGAGCAGCTTGGTGTGGCAGTGTAGTTTGGTACAATTCTGGGCCCCTTCTATGCAAGCTCTTTTCACCCACTTCCAATCATCTCAAAGAAAAGCGAAGTACACTATCGGACCCAGGAATCGAAAGACTACAAGATAAGACGGAGAATGTTTTGGTGACAGATCCTGTCGAACTTACTCAGTACCATCTTCATAGTTCAAATGGATTAGAAGAAAAAAAGCCGGGGTTTATCCGTTCGACGTTCATATTTTAGTGTATGGAAATAACCTTACGATCGATTGAAAGTTAGAAAGGTTTCAATGCCAGGGCATCAAAGTTGTACAGTCCGTACACAAAGGGTTAAAATTCGTGTTTTGGTGCCGACTACACATTTGCAAAGAGAGAGTGCTGCCAGCTCAGGGGCCTTGCTATGCTTTCGCTTGACCTAGGTCACGAGGCATGAATTTTAAATTAGTGAAAACATCTTTTAAAAATACAATCATTGGTTTCCAGTACTTGTATTGCAAATATGTTTCTATCAGCTCGAGTAACAGTAATGATGACCTCGGTAAAAAAGAGGAATAGCAAGGGTCCTCAGCTGGCCCCTCTCTTATTCCTTTTAATTTTTTTACCACACATACATGTACCCTCCTCATCCCAAGCTGACTCATGCCGCCCCAGCAATACCATTTCCATATGTGCAGTATGTCAAAGTGCTTGAAATCATTCATTGCTAGTGAACAGTATTGAATCCAGAATGAAAAACATAACACTCAATGTACTTTGTCATCCAAAACAATTTGGAATATTCCATTGCTTTCTGAACTCTATTGTTAGGAGACTGTAAGACACCCACGAATCCAACTTGGGGTACATATCCAATGGATGGTTCTACAACCGTCGGCAGTACCAAGACAATAACTTGTTCTTCTAAATATGCCGTCAATCCTTCTGGAACAACACAAACTATCACATGCCAAGCCAATGGTACTTGGACAGTGCCTGGTGTGCAACCATGTCTACGTAAGATATTCTTGATTTAGATGAGAGTTTATAGTCGAGAAAGGGTCCAAGGAAGTACAAGTTATGCTATAATGTACACAAACACCATCAGTCACTAAACAATCAGCTCATGCAATAACACTGTACGACACTGACCAACGGTACTGATGTTCTACAACTAACTGACTATGAGCTCTAGAATGTCTTTCATGCGCACTCCAACAGCAGTATGTTATCATATTGTTGTCACGGGTTTGAGAACCGTAAACGAACTACCTTTAGGCTCCTCGCCACGCCACACAACACAGGACTAGTGCAAATTGTTAGAGTACTTTTTCTTCTACTTCATTTCAGTAGGCGACTGGGGAACTCATAAAGAAGAACCAACACTGACAACGAACGACTGACGAATGACACTGAGACAAGACTAGACAACAGAATATATTAGATTGAAGGCGTACAACGGGGAGAAGACGAGCAAGTGTATACCAACGGGGACAGAAGACGGTGCAGCCGCATGTACGCAGGAGTCAAAAACAGCGCAGCAGCATGTACAACAAAGAGACACAAAAGCAGCCACATGTACGACAAAGAGCTACACGTGCAACCGCATGTACAACGAAGAGACACAAGCGCAGCCACATGTACAACACTATCCCCCATCAAAAAAAGACATCCACACCTGTGGATGGAAGCAATCAAAACAAAATTAGAAGAAAGACAGGAGAAAAAGAAATCAAATGTGAACACAATACAGAGGAGAATAGAAACAAAACATGCAGGGCCAAAACAGTAAGAGACGTAACTCGGACAAAGGGGAAAAAGCCAAGGCACAAATCTGTGAAAAGAAAACAGACCGGGCCCACCCATAGAGAGAACCGCCATACTTTCAGGCGTGGGCCGCCAGGAAGTAACCACGTTGCCCTGGTACGAAGCCAAGGCAAACCGATGGCACTGCGAAGACCGCGGCAGCTGAACCGGGTGACCAGGCATCTGGAAGCACAGGAGTTGTCCGGAAAACCATCACGCAGCAAACCATCACGCAGCCGATGGGGCTACGAAAGCTCACAGAGACAGAAAGACACACACAGAAAGAAACACGGACTGACGCAAACATCTCAGCCATCGCCAAAAATCAGAAAAGCACACGAAGGAAGGGAAGAACAGCCAGGAAGAACACGTCGACTGAAACAGGAGCAATTAATCAGTGAGGACACCATTGAGGACACACAAACAAATCGGTTACCAATACGCAAAAGATAATGAAGAAAAACCACAGGGCGCTACCCTGAAAAACCCACAGGTCTCTAACCTGAAAAAACCACAGGGATTGAACCTGAAAAAACCACAGGGATCGAACCTGAAAAAACCACAGGGATTGAACCTGAAAACCCACAGGGATCGAACCTGAATAACACGGAACTTATAGTACATCCGCTCGCAAAACCAAAAAACCGAAGAAGAAAAAACTGTCAGGCACCGACTGGGGCACACAAGGGCCAACCAGCAACACACGGAAACCATAACACTCGCAAGGCAAACCGATACAAAAAAGCGCAGGATCCCTGCAGACCACCAAGCAGACCGTGGCTCACCATGATCAGACGCCCACCCAAACGAACTAGAGGAACCTACATGCCGAAACACAATTATTACAAAACCATACGCTCCCAAAAAAAATTCAACCTGGATCCGAAACGAGAATCCTACATGAAGTTCACACCTCCCACCAAACCGGAAGCCACCAGCTTTCCGACTGGGTGCACAGTGCATGACCGAGCCTGACAACGCTCTGCACGGAACATGGAGAAACTACTAGTACTAGTGAAACGGTAGAAACACGAAACAAAACAATAATATGGATCGACTACAAACGAGGCAGCACCTCGAGAACGTTCCGGTGGACATCCAAACAAATCACGCGACACAGTCACAATATCGGAGCAGTCCGGCGGCAACTCGGTCTCCGTGACAAGCACAAGTGCACAACACAAGACGAGATCAAAGCTACCCATGCTGAATTCACGACGAGCAAGCAAAAACAAGTTCCAGATTCGAACGCGTAGCACACGAACAGAAGTTTGAAATTTTCATACACACAACCGTACAGTACAGGGTAGTCAGAGCGACACAGGAACAACGAACACAACGGGGCGAACTTACAACGAGCAGCTACTTTGTAGACTACACTACGCACTCGAGCACAAGAGAACAAGGTTCCACGGACTTCCTGCCGGGACCCGAGTCACCCGACGCAAAATAATTTGAAAAATTCGAAATCGAATACAAGTTAGTTACGGCCACACAGTACGCAGAGCAGACAATTACAAAGGCATTCTCACCTGAGTAGGCGCTCGCATGAGAGGCTTGGACGTTCGTGAGACTCAAGTAGCTGGGCCATGGCGAGAACACGAAGAGGAGACGAAAACACAGCTGATATGGAGACGAACTCAGGGTCGTGGATACGATTTGTTGGACGCCAAATGTCGTCACGGGTTTGAGAACCGTGAACGAACTACCTCTAGGCTCCTCGCCACGCCACACAACACAGGACTAGTGCAAATTGTTAGAGTACTTTTTCTTCTACTTCATTTCAGTAGGCGACTGGGGAACTCATAAAGAAGAACCAACACTGACAACGAACGACTGACGACTGACACTGAGACAAGACTAGACAACAGAATATATTAGATTGAAGGCGTACAACGGGGACAAGACGAGCAAGTGTGTACCAACGGGGACAGAAGACGGTGCAGCCGCATGTACGCAGGAGTCAAAAACAGCGCAGCAGCATGTACAACAAAGAGACACAAAAGCAGCCACATGTACGACAAAGAGCTACACGTGCAACCGCATGTACAACGAAGAGACACAAGCGCAGCCACATGTACAACAATATAACTTAGAATATTCCAAGTTGGAAGACTGTTGGAGTGCGCATCCAGGACGTATTAGCACCGTTTAAGATGTCAAAAGATTAAGGCTTTCCATTTGGCTATGCAGCATGAACATGTGTCTCTCGCTCTTTGCCAATCTTCTTTTGTTCGATGTTACCATCAATCTCCTTTTGTTCGATGTTACCATCTGTGCAGCTCTGCAGTCCGAGTTCACAAAGCCCAAGGGCACCGTGAATGGGGAAACAGATAGCTTGAGTGACCAGCACACGTTTTTTATTTGGGTTTTGAGTATGAATGTAATAGTGGAGGTCGTGAGCAGCTTGGTGTGGCAGTGTAGTTTGGTACAATTCTGGGGCCCCTTCAATTCAAGCTCTTTCACCCACTTCCAATCATCTCAAAGAAAAGCGAAGTACACTATCGGACCCAGGAATCGAAAGACTACAAGATAAGACGGAGAATGTTTTGTGACAGATCCTGTCGAACTTACTCAGTACCATCTTCATTGTTCGAATGGAGTAGAGAAAAAAAGCCGGGTTTATCGGTTCGACGTACATATTTTAGTGTATGGAAATAACCTTACGATCGATTGAAAGTTAGAAAGGTTTCAATGCCAGGGCATCAAAGTTGTACAGTCCGTACACAAAGGGTTAAATTCGTGTTTTGGTGCCCACTACACATTTGCTAAGAGAGAAAGAGGAGAGAGAGAGAGAGAGAGAGAGAGAGAGAGAGAGAGAGAGAGAGAGAGAGAGAGAGAGAGAGAGAGAGAGAGAGAGAGAGAGAGAGAGAGAGAGAGAGAGAGAGAGAGAGAGAGAGAGAGAGAGAGAGAGAGAGAGAGAGAGAGAGAGAGAGAGAGAGAGAGAGAGAGAGAGAGAGAGAGAGAGAGAGAGAGAGAGAGAGAGAGAGAGAGAGAGAGAGAGAGAGAGAGAGAGAGAGAGAGAGAGAGAGAGAGGAGAGAAAGAGAGAGAAGAGAGAGAGAGAGAGAGAGAGAGAGAGAGAGAGAGAGAGAGAGAGAGAGAGAGAGAGAGAGAGAGAGAGAGAGAGAGAGAGAGAGAGAGAGAGAGAGAGAGAGAGAGAGAGAGAGAGAGAGAGAGAGAGAGAGAGAGAGAGAGAGAGAGAGAGAGAGAGAGAGAGAGAGAGAGAGAGAGAGAGAGAGAGAGAGAGAGAGTGCTGCCAGCTCAGGGGCCTCGCTATGCTTTCGCTTGACCTAGGTCACGAGGCATGAATTTTAAATTGGTGAAAACATCTTTTAAAAATACAATCATTGGTTTCAGTACTTGTATTGCAAATATGTTTCTATCAGCTCGAGTAACAGTAATGATGACCTCGGAAAAAGAGAATAGCAAGGGTCCTCAGCTGGCCCCTCTCTTATTCCTTAATTTTTTTACCACACATACATGCACCCTTCTCATCCCAAGCTGACTCATGCCGCCCCAGCAATACCAATAACCATATGTGCAGTATGTCAAAGTGCTTGAAATCATTCATTGCTAGTGAACAGTATTGAATCCAGAATGAAAACATAACATTCAATGTACTTTGTCATCCAAAACAATTTAGAATATTCCATTGCTTTCTGAACTCTATTGTTAGGAGACTGTAAGACACCCACGAATCCAACTTGGGGTACATATCCAATGGATGGTTCTACAACCGTCGGCGGTACCAAGACAATAACTTGTTCTTCTAAATATGCCGTCAATCCTTCTGCAACAACACAAACTATCACATGCCAAGCCAATGGTACTTGGAAAGTGCCTGGTGTGCAACCATGTCTACGTAAGATATTCTTGATTTAGATGAGAGTTTATAGTCGAGAAAGGGTCCAAGGAAGTACAAGTTATGCTATAATATACACAAACACCATCAGTCACTAAACAATCAGCTCATGCAATAACACTGTACGACACTGACCAACGGTACTGACGTTCTACAACTAACTGACTATGAGCTCTAGAATGTCTTGCATGCGCACTCCAACAGCAGTATGTTATCATATAACTTAGAAGATTCCAAGGTGGAAGACTGTTGGAGTGCGCATCCAGGACGTATTAGCACCGTTTAAGATGTCAAAAGATTAAAGCTTTCCATTTGGCTATGCAGCATGAAGATGTGTCTCTCGCTCTTTGCCAATCTTCTTTTGTTCGATGTTACCATCAATCTCCTTTTGTTCGATGTTACCATCTGTGCAGCTCTGCTGTCCGAGTTCACAAAGCCCAAGGTCAACGTAAATGGGGAAACAGATAGCTTGAGTCACCAGCACACGTTTTTTATTTGGGTTTTGAGTATGAATGTAATAGTGGAGGTCGTGAGCAGCTTGGTGTGGTAGTGTAGTTTGGTACAATTCTGGGCCCCTTCAATGCAAGCTCTGTTCACCCACTTCCAATCATCTCAAAGAAAAGCGAAGTACACTATCGGACCCAGGAATCGAAAGACTACAAGATAAGACGGAGAATGTTTTGGTGACAGATCCTGTCGAACTTACTCAGTACCATCTTCATTGTTCGAATGGATTAGAAGAAAACAAAAGCCGGAGTTTATCGGTTCGACGTACATATTTTAGTGTAAGGAAATAACCTTACGATCGATTGAAAGTTAGAAAGGTTTCAATGCCAGGGCATCAAAGTTGTCCAGTCCGTACACAAAGGGATAAAATTCGTGTTTGGGTGCCCACTACACATTTGCAAAGAGAGAGAGAGAGAGTGCTGCCAGCTCAGGGGCCTCGCTATTCTTTCGCTTGACCTAGGTCACGAGGCATGAATTTTAAATTAGTGAAAACATCTTTTAAAAATACAATCATTGGTTTCCAGTACTTGTATTGCAAATATGTTTCTATCAGCTCGAGTAACAGTAATGATGACCTCGGTAAAAAAGAGGAATAGCAAGGGTCCTCAGCTGGCCCCTCTCTTATTCCTTAATTTTTTAAAAAACACACATGTACCCTTCTCATCCCAAGCTGACTCATGCCGCCCCAGCATTACCATAACCATATGTGCAGTATGTCAAAGTGCTTGAAATCATTCATTACTAGTAAACAGTATTGAATCCAGAATGAAAAAAGTAACACTCAATGTACTTGGTCATCCAAAACAATTTAGAATATTCCATTGCTTTCTGAACTCTATTGTTAGGAGACTGTAAGACACCCACGAATCCAACTTGGGGTACATATCCAATGGATGGTTCTACAACCGTCGGCAGTACCAAGACAATAACTTGTTCTCTTGACTATGCCGTCAATCCTTCTGCAACAACACAAACTATCACATGCCAAGCCAATGGTACTTGGACAGTGCCTGGTGTGCAACCATGTCTACGTAAGATATTCTTGATTTAGATGAGAGTTTATAGTCGAGAAAGGGTCCAAGGAAGTACAAGTTATGCTATAATGTACACAAACACCATCAGTCACTAAACAATCAGCTCATGCAATAACACTGTACGACACTGACCAATGGTACTGACGTTCTACAACTAACTGACTATGAGCTCTAGAATGTCTTTCATGCGCACTCCAACAGCAGTATGTTATCATATAACTTAGAAGATTCCAAGGTGGAAGACTGTTGGAGTGCGCATCCAGGACGTATTAGCACCGTTTAAGATGTCAAAAGATTAAGAGAGCATGTCTGAGAATACCAAAGTATGTGTGCAAGTGGATCTCTCCGATTTCGCTCAAAATTTGCAGGTAGGTTGCCTTTGGGGTGTGGATCGACTGTGCAAAGCCCTTGAAAAAGTTTCTGAAGGGAACCTTGAAATTTGCATACCCCTCAAAAATGGCCGAAATATCACATTATTTATGGGTCTAGAAACGAGTCACGCCACAGCGTATACGAACAAGCTATGAACAAAACTCCATCAAGCCAACATTGCCTCACCTTAGAAGAGTTCCTGGAGCAGTACCGCTTAGCCACGCCAGCATCCCAGAAGACGAGGTCCATCACCCCCTGACGCCACAAATGATCGTCTTGAAAATAGCCGATTTACAAGCGCTGGCAAAACAGCCAGCTACGTCCTCAATTGGCCAGAACTATACACCGGCAGATGGTAGAACACCTCTTCTAGCGCTGAGGACATGTCCCCCATCTTCCTTTTGGGGTTTTCTTGAAATAAACTTTTTTGAATTTTTCCACTCGACCATGCTGAAATACGGCCAAAGTCATACCTGCGCAGGAAAGCTCGCCCCGTCGCGACGTCTCCTCAGCAATTTCTACTCCAACACTACTCCCAAGGCCGCAGAACAAAGTGTAGTTTTGACTCTGACAAGGAAAAGCAGCGGTGATCACTTGTCACTCCAAACGACAAGCTTCTCCTTGCGCCACCAATAATTTTTTGTGCGACTGTTGATGCAAAAGTGACTGAAGGCCTGAGCGCAGTTTTTGAATTTTATTGCAAGATGCACGGTGAAATCACGTGCCTTGTGACGCAAGAATGCCAAGTCGCGTGGCCCACGGCTCACGAGATTTCAGAGTCACCTTCGTCAAGTGCGCTTGTTACTCGCCTTGAACGCCCGGTGGTCTGGAAGTGATCCCACTTGTGTTGTTACTGCGCTCAAGAACACGCTGGGAGTGTTGTAGGCCTACGAACCGGGACTTTCCCTGACCATGTAGGTCGAAGACCAGTGAAATGATGATGAAATCACATTCTTTATGACGTAAGAAATCTCTCATGCAGTTCACGCGACAAGTGCGTGCAGTCAGTGCTACTCGCGTGCCAGTCAACACAGGGACCGAGCTAGCCGCTTTTGTCGAGCATCGACATGAAAACAAGGGACTTTTACTGTTGGACTATGTTCGGGATTGCAGGAGGTATGTTGTTGTTGTTGTATACTTTATTTATAGTGGAAATCAAAACAGGCAAAATGCCTAATAACATTGGACCCACTGTGAATAACATGTTAAAGGATATTGTGGAAAAAAAAAAAAATGTGTGAAAGACGAATAACTCTCCATGCTGTACGGGGCATATTTCAACGGCTTGCTGCCATTGCAACACTCCTAGAACAGTTTGTTGGGGTACTCAGCAGTTCAAGCAGGAAATGAAGCTCATCTTACCTCTGCCATGATCATGGTCTGTTCCGAGTAGCGTTCCAGGCACTTTGACGATCGTTGGGCGCGTATCGTGACGCAGGAAGCGTCATCCTACGTCACAGAGCACGCGATCTCACCGTGCATCTTGCAATAAAATTCAAAAACTGCGCTCAGGCCTTCAGTCACTTTTGCATCAACAGTCGCACAAAAATTATTGGTGGCGCAAGGAGAAGCTTGTCGTTTGGAGTGACAAGTGATCACCGCTGCTTTTCCTTGTCAGAGTCAACACTATACTTTGTTCTGCGGCCTTGGGAGTAGTGTTGGAGTAGAAATTGCTGAGGAGACGTCGCGACGGGGCGAGCTTTCCTGCGCAGGTATGACTTTGGCTGTATTTCAGCATGGTCGAGTGGAAAAATTCAAAAAAGTTTATTTCAAGAAAACCCCAAAAGGAAGATGGGAGACATGTCCTCAGCGCTAGAAGAGGTGTTCTACTATCTGCCGGTGTATAGTTCTGGCCAATTGAGGACGTAGCTGGCTGTTTTGCCAGCGCTTGTAAATTGGCTATTTTCAAGACGATCATTTGTGGCGTCAGGGGGTGATGGACCTCGTCTTCTGGGATGCTGGCGTGGCTAAGCGGTACTGCTCCAGGAACTCTTCTAAGGTGAGGCAATGTTGGCTTGATGGAGTTTTGTTCATAGCTTGTTCGTATACGCTGTGGCGTGACTCGTTTCTAGACCCATAAATAATGTGATATTTCGGCCATTTTTGAGGGGTATGCAAATTTCAAGGTTCCCTTCAGAAACTTTTTCAAGGGCTTTGCACAGTCGATCCACACCCCAAAGGCAACCTACCTGCAAATTTTGAGCGAAATCGGAGAGATCCACTTGCACACATACTTTGGTATTCTCAGACATGCTCTCTTAAAGCTTTCCATTTGGCTATGCAGCATGAAGATGTGTCTCTCGCTCTTTGCCAATCTTCTTTTGTTCGATGTTACCATCAATCTCCTTTTGTTCGATGTTACCATCTGTGCAGCTCTGCTGTCCGAGTTCACAAAGCCCAAGGTCAACGTAAATGGGGAAACAGATAGCTTGAGTGACCAGCACACGTTTTTTATTTGGGTTTTGAGTATGAATGTAATAGTGGAGGTCGTGAGCAGCTTGGTGTGGCAGTGTAGTTTGGTACAATTCTGGGCCCCTTCAATGGAAGCTCTTTTCACCCACTTCCAATCATCTCAAAGAAAAGCGAAGTACACTATCGGACCCAGGAATCGAAAGACTACAAGATAAGACGGAGAATGTTTTGGTGACAGATCCTGTCGAACTTACTCAGTACCATCTTCATTGTTCGAATGGATTAGAAGAAAACAAAAGCCGGGGTTTATCGGTTCGACGTACATATTTTAGTGTAAGGAAATAACCTTACGATCGATTGAAAGTTAGAAAGGTTTCAATGCCAGGGCATCAAAGTTGTCCAGTCCGTACACAAAGGGATAAAATTCGTGTTTGGGTGCCCACTACACATTTGCAAAGAGAGAGAGAGAGAGAGTGCTGCCAGCTCAGGGGCCTCGCTATTCTTTCGCTTGACCTAGGTCACGAGGCATGAATTTTAAATTGGTGAAAACATCTTATAAAAATACAATCATTGGTTTCCAGTACTTGTATTGCAAATATGTTTCTATCAGCTCGAGTAACAGTAATGATGACCTCGGTAAAAAAGAGGAATAGCAAGGGTCCTCAGCTGGCCCCTCTCTTATTCCTTTATTTTTTCCACACATACATGTACCCTTCTCATCCCAAGCTGACTCATGCCGCCCCAACAATACCATAACCATATGTGCAGTATGTCAAAGTGCTTGAAATCATTCATTGCTAGTGAACAGTATTGAATCCAGAATGAAAAACGTAACACTCAATGTACTTTGTCATCCAAAACAATTTAGAATATTCCATTCAGCGGCTTTCTGAACTATATTGTTAGGAGACTGTAAGACACCCACGAATCCAACTTGGGGTACATATCCAATGGATGGTTCTACAACCGTCGGTAGTACCAAGACAATAACTTGTTCTTCTAAATATGCCGTCAATCCTTCTGCAACAACACAAACTATCACATGCCAAGCCAATGGTACTTGGACAGTGCCTGGTGTGCAACCATGTCTACGTAAGATATTCTTGATTTAGATGAGAGTTTATAGTCGAGAAAGGGTCCAAGGAAGTACAAGTTATGCTATAATATACACAAACACCATCAGTCACTAAACAATCAGCTCATGCAATAACACTATACGACACTGACCAATGGTACTGACGTTCTACAACTAACTGACTATGAGCTCTAGAATGTCTTGCATGCGCACTCCAACAGCAGTATGTTATCATATAACTTAGAATATTCCAAGTTGGAAGACTGTTGGAGTGCGCATCCAGGACGTATTAGCACCGTTTAAGATGTCAAAAGATTAAGGCTTTCCATTTGGCTATGCAGCATGAACATGTGTCTCTCGCTCTTTGCCAATCTTCTTTTGTTCGATGTTGCCACCAATCTCCTTTTGTTCGATGTTACCATCTGTGGAGCTCTGCTGTCCGAGTTCACAAAGCCCAAGGGCACCGTAAATGGGGAAACAGATAGCTTGAGTGACCAGCACACGTTTTTTATTTGGGTTTTGAGTATGAATGTAATAGTGGAGGTCGTGAGCAGCTTGGTGTGGCAGTGTAGTTTGGTACAATTCTGGGCCCCTTCAATGCAAGCTCTGTTCACCCACTTCCAATCATCTCAAAGAAAAGCGAAGTACACTATCGGACCCAGGAATCGAAAGACTACAAGACAACACGGAGAATGTTTTGTTGACAGATTCTGTCGAACTTACTCAGTACCATCTTCATTGTTCGAATGGATTAAAAGAAGAAAAAAAGCCGGGGTTTATCGGTTCGACGTACATATTTTAGTGTATGGAAATAACCTTACGATCGATTGAAAGTTAGAAAAGTTTCAATGCCAGGGCATCAAAGTTGTACAGTCCGTACCCAAAGGGTTAAAATTCGTGTTTTGGTGCCCACTACACATTTGCAAAGAGAGAGAGAGAGAGAGAGAGAGAGAGAGAGAGTTAGAGAGAGAGACAGAGAGAGTGCTGCCAGCTCAGGGGCCTCGCTATTCTTTCGCTTGACCTAGGTCACGAGGCATGAATTTTAAATTAGTGAAAACATCTTTTAAAAATACAATCATTGGTTTCCAGTACTTGTATTGCAAATATGTTTCTATCAGCTCGAGTAACAGTAATGATGACCTCGGTAAAAAAGAGGAATAGCAAGGGTCCTCAGCTGGCCCCTCTCTTATTCCTTAATTTTTTACCACACATACATGTACCCTTCTCATCCCAAGCTGACTCATGCCGCCCCAGCAATACCATAACCATATGTGCAGTATGTCAAAGTGCTTGAAATCATTCATTGCTAGTGAACAGTATTGAATCCAGAATGAAAAACGTAACACTCAATGTACTTTGTCATCCAAAACAATTTAGAATATTCCATTGCTTTCTGAACTCTATTGTTAGGAGACTGTAAGACACCCACGAATCCAACTTGGGGTACATATCCAATGGATGGTTCTACAACCGTCGGCAGTACCAAGGCAATAACTTGTTCTTCTAAATATGCCGTCAATCCTTCTGCAACAACACAAACTATCACATGCCAAGCCAATGGTACTTGGACAGTGCCTGGTGTGCAACCATGTCTACGTAAGATATTCTTGATTTAGATGAGAGTTTATAGTCGAGAAAAGGTCCAAGGAAGTACACGTTATGCTATAATGTACACAAACACCATCAGTCACTAAACAATCAGCTAATGCAATAACACTGTACGACACTGACCAACGGTACTGACGTTCTACAACTAACTGACTATAAGCTCTAGAATGTCTTGCATGCGCACTCCAACAGCAGTGTGTTATCATAATTATAACTTAGAAGATTCCAAGTTGGAAGACTGTTGGAGTGCGCATCCAGGACGTATTAGCACCGTTTAAGATGTCAAAAGATTATAAAGCTTTCCATTTGGCTATGCAGCATGAACATGTGTCACTCGCTCTTTGCCAATCTTCTTTTGTTCGATGTTACCATCAATCTCCTTTTGTTCGATGTTACCATCTGTGCAGCTCTGCTGTCCGAGTTCACAAAGCCCAAGGTCAACGTAAATGGGGAAACAGATAGCTTGAGTGACCAGCACACGTTTTTTATTTGGGTTTTGAGTATGAATGTAATAGTGGAGGTCGTGAGCAGCTTGGTGTGGCAGTGTAGTTTGGTACAATTCTGGGCCCCTTCAATGGAAGCTCTTTTCACCCACTTCCAATCATCTCAAAGAAAAGCGAAGTACACTATCGGACCCAGGAATCGAAAGACTACAAGATAAGACGGAGAATGTTTTGGTGACAGATCCTGTCGAACTTACTCAGTACCATCTTCATTGTTCGAATGGATTAGAAGAAAACAAAAGCCGGGGTTTATCGGTTCGACGTACATATTTTAGTGTAAGGAAATAACCTTACGATCGATTGAAAGTTAGAAAGGTTTCAATGCCAGGGCATCAAAGTTGTCCAGTCCGTACACAAAGGGATAAAATTCGTGTTTGGGTGCCCACTACACATTTGCAAAGAGAGAGAGAGAGAGAGAGTGCTGCCAGCTCAGGGGCCTCGCTATTCTTTCGCTTGACCTAGGTCACGAGGCATGAATTTTAAATTGGTGAAAACATCTTATAAAAATACAATCATTGGTTTCCAGTACTTGTATTGCAAATATGTTTCTATCAGCTCGAGTAACAGTAATGATGACCTCGGTAAAAAAGAGGAATAGCAAGGGTCCTCAGCTGGCCCCTCTCTTATTCCTTTATTTTTTCCACACATACATGTACCCTTCTCATCCCAAGCTGACTCATGCCGCCCCAACAATACCATAACCATATGTGCAGTATGTCAAAGTGCTTGAAATCATTCATTGCTAGTGAACAGTATTGAATCCAGAATGAAAAACGTAACACTCAATGTACTTTGTCATCCAAAACAATTTAGAATATTCCATTCAGCGGCTTTCTGAACTATATTGTTAGGAGACTGTAAGACACCCACGAATCCAACTTGGGGTACATATCCAATGGATGGTTCTACAACCGTCGGTAGTACCAAGACAATAACTTGTTCTTCTAAATATGCCGTCAATCCTTCTGCAACAACACAAACTATCACATGCCAAGCCAATGGTACTTGGACAGTGCCTGGTGTGCAACCATGTCTACGTAAGATATTCTTGATTTAGATGAGAGTTTATAGTCGAGAAAGGGTCCAAGGAAGTACAAGTTATGCTATAATATACACAAACACCATCAGTCACTAAACAATCAGCTCATGCAATAACACTATACGACACTGACCAATGGTACTGACGTTCTACAACTAACTGACTATGAGCTCTAGAATGTCTTGCATGCGCACTCCAACAGCAGTATGTTATCATATAACTTAGAATATTCCAAGTTGGAAGACTGTTGGAGTGCGCATCCAGGACGTATTAGCACCGTTTAAGATGTCAAAAGATTAAGGCTTTCCATTTGGCTATGCAGCATGAACATGTGTCTCTCGCTCTTTGCCAATCTTCTTTTGTTCGATGTTGCCACCAATCTCCTTTTGTTCGATGTTACCATCTGTGGAGCTCTGCTGTCCGAGTTCACAAAGCCCAAGGGCACCGTAAATGGGGAAACAGATAGCTTGAGTGACCAGCACACGTTTTTTATTTGGGTTTTGAGTATGAATGTAATAGTGGAGGTCGTGAGCAGCTTGGTGTGGCAGTGTAGTTTGGTACAATTCTGGGCCCCTTCAATGCAAGCTCTGTTCACCCACTTCCAATCATCTCAAAGAAAAGCGAAGTACACTATCGGACCCAGGAATCGAAAGACTACAAGACAACACGGAGAATGTTTTGTTGACAGATTCTGTCGAACTTACTCAGTACCATCTTCATTGTTCGAATGGATTAAAAGAAGAAAAAAAGCCGGGGTTTATCGGTTCGACGTACATATTTTAGTGTATGGAAATAACCTTACGATCGATTGAAAGTTAGAAAAGTTTCAATGCCCGGGCATCAAAGTTGTACAGTCCGTACCCAAAGGGTTAAAATTCGTGTTTTGGTGCCCACTACACATTTGCAAAGAGAGAGAGAGAGAGAGAGAGAGAGAGAGAGAGAGAGAGAGAGTTAGAGAGAGAGACAGAGAGAGTGCTGCCAGCTCAGGGGCCTCGCTATTCTTTCGCTTGACCTAGGTCACGAGGCATGAATTTTAAATTAGTGAAAACATCTTTTAAAAATACAATCATTGGTTTCCAGTACTTGTATTGCAAATATGTTTCTATCAGCTCGAGTAACAGTAATGATGACCTCGGTAAAAAAGAGGAATAGCAAGGGTCCTCAGCTGGCCCCTCTCTTATTCCTTAATTTTTTACCACACATACATGTACCCTTCTCATCCCAAGCTGACTCATGCCGCCCCAGCAATACCATAACCATATGTGCAGTATGTCAAAGTGCTTGAAATCATTCATTGCTAGTGAACAGTATTGAATCCAGAATGAAAAACGTAACACTCAATGTACTTTGTCATCCAAAACAATTTAGAATATTCCATTGCTTTCTGAACTCTATTGTTAGGAGACTGTATTACACCCACGAATCCAACTTGGGGTACATATCCAATGGATGGTTCTACAACCGTCGGCAGTACCAAGACAATAACTTGTTCTTCTAAATATGCCGTCAATCCTTCTGCAACAACACAAACTATCACATGCCAAGCCAATGGTACTTGGACAGTGCCTGGTGTGCAACCATGTCTACGTAAGATATTCTTGATTTAGATGAGAGTTTATAGTCGAGAAAAGGTCCAAGGAAGTACACGTTATGCTATAATGTACACAAACACCATCAGTCACTAAACAATCAGCTAATGCAATAACACTGTACGACACTGACCAACGGTACTGACGTTCTACAACTAACTGACTATAAGCTCTAGAATGTCTTGCATGCGCACTCCAACAGCAGTGTGTTATCATAATTATAACTTAGAAGATTCCAAGTTGGAAGACTGTTGGAGTGCGCATCCAGGACGTATTAGCACCGTTTAAGATGTCAAAAGATTATAAAGCTTTCCATTTGGCTATGCAGCATGAACATGTGTCACTCGCTCTTTGCCAATCTTCTTTTGTTCGATGTTACCATCAATCTCCTTTTGTTCGATGTTACCATCTGTGGAGCTCCGCTGTCCGAGTTCACAAAGCCCAAGGGCACCGTAAATGGGGAAACAGATAGCTTGAGTCACCAGCACACGTTTATTATTTGGGTTTTGAGTATGAATGTAATAGTGGAGGTCGTGAGCAGCTTGGTGTGGCAGTGAAGTTTGGTACAATTCTGGGCCCCTTCAATGCAAGCTCTTTTCACCCACTTCCAATCATCTCAAAGAAAAGCGAAGTACACTATCGGACCCAGGAATCGAAAGACTACAAGACAAGACGGAGAATGTTTTGTTGACAGATTCTGTCGAACTTACTCAGTACCATCTTCATTGTTCGAATGGATTAAAAGAAGAAAAAAAGCCGGGGTTTACCGGTTCGACGTACATATTTTAGTGTATGGAAATAACCTTACGATCGATTGAAAGTTAGAAAGGTTTCAATGCCAGGGCATCAAAGTTGTACAGTCCGTACACAAAAGGTTAAAATTCGTGTTTTGGTGCCCACTACACATTTGCAAAGAGAGAGAGAGAAAGAGAGAGCTGCCAGCTCAGAGGCCTCGCTATTCTTTCGCTTGACCTAGGTCACGAGGCATGAATTTTAAATTGGTGAAAACATCTTTAAAAAATACAATCATTGGTTTCCAGTACTTGTATTACAAATATGTTTCTATCAGCTCGAGTAACAGAAATGATGACCTCGGTAAAAAAGAGGAATAGCAAGGGTCCTCAGCTGGCCCCTCTCTTATTCCTTAATTTTTTTACCACACATACATGTACCCTTCTCATCCCAAGCTGACTCATGCCGCCCCAGCAATACCATAACCATATGTGCAGTATGTCAAAGTGCTTGAAATCATTCATTGCTAGTGAACAGTATTGAATCCAGAATGAAAAAGATAACACTCAATGTACTTTGTCATCCAAAACAATTTAGAATGTTCCATTGCTTTCTGAACTCTATTGTTAGGAGACTGTAAGACACCCACGAATCCAACTTGGGGTACATATCCGATGGATGGTTCTACAACCGTCGGCAGTACCAAGACAATAACTTGTTCTTCTAAATATGCCGTCAATCCTTCTGCAACAACACAAACTATCACATGCCAAGCCAATGGTACTTGGACAGTGCCTGGTGTGCAACCATGTCTACGTAAGATATTCTTGATTTAGATGAGAGTTTATAGTCGAGAAAGGGTCCAAGGAAGTACACGTTATGCTATAATGTACACAAACACCATCAGTCACTAAACAATCAGCTCATGCAATAACACTGTACGACACTGACCAACGGTACTGACGTTCTACAACTAACTGACTATGAGCTCTAGAATGTCTTGCATGCGCACTCCAACAGCAGTGTGTTATCATAATTATAACTTAGAAGATTCCAAGTTGGAAGACTGTTGGAGTGCGCATCC